TTTTTATTTTTGATACATTTGCAAAGATTCTTTCACATTGTCATTATGGGGTATTGTTTGTAGACTTGAGGAAAATAATGAATTTAATCCATTTTGGAAAAACGCTGTAACATATCAAAATATGGAAAAGTGAAGCGCTGTGAATACTTTCCGGATGCACTGTGTATAGATGTTTGTGTTAATGCTGTTTTGCGGCATGTTATGACACATTTGAATCATTTTGGTACTATTTTCACTAGTACATTTTCAAAAATTACCAATTCTCTAATCTCTCAAAATATCATTAAATAGAGATTTTAAAACTTTTAAGAGCTTTTAAATTTTAGCATCAGGGCTAAAATGGCATTTTATTTCTAAAACAAAAATCCTACAAACATCTTAAGTTCTCAGGAAGCATTATTAAAAAAAATCATGATCCATTTAAACTTTTTCTACAGTGTTTTAACAATGTTAAAAACTAATGTTAAAGTCATAAAATCTACTAAAATATTTGTATATGCAACCAGTACTTGCATTTCTTTAGTAAATTTTGAATATGCTTTTAAAAACAGTGATGGACTAAAATGACATTGCATATATCTCACCTTTCAGGAAATGGTTGAGAATCTGCCAGTTGAAGCTTGGTTAGTTGAAGCCCTTAAGGTAACCAAGAAATTTGCTGCTAAAGAACATAAATATAAGTTAATGTAATTTCTCACAACAGATGGAGGAGAGAGAGAGAGCTCACTTAATATACTGTGAGTTAATGTAGGCTATACATTACATTCTTTATTTAAAGGTAAACAACAATATTTGTAAGAATAAAGTAGAACAGAGTTGCACAATATGTATACTTACAATAACTTGTGCTTTTAAATGAGGCTCTTTCTCCAGTCCAACCTGGAAGATTTAGACAACAGAATGTGTATTTATATCTTAAAAAAAAAAACCGCCTTCTGAAGATCATGTGGTTTACAAGAAAACATACATTTCATTGTTGATAATTGATTTGGGGTACAGCCCAGGAAATATTTGGCATATATCTTCTCAATTATTTGACAAATTATATATATATATATATTTTTTTATAATCAGTGTCTCAAGATGATACATGCCAAATTTTGTGTGAATCAAACGGTCTTGGAGAGAAACTCAAAACAGCAGATAGACCCAGTAAATACAGAATAAAATGTTTTTATTATTATTATTTGAATTGAGATTTAAATTTGAATTATTGTTAATCTAATTCATTAATCTATTAGATAACAGCTGTAAAAAATTGAGCACACCCAGTTTCTTATGATTATGTGATTTACAGGAAGCTCATTTTTTTCAGCAGAACAACCTAGTAGTAGGCTATTATTAACAGTAAAAGAAAATAACAGCACCTTTTAGCCTCTAATGCAAACATGAAACATTAAACATACTGTACAGCAGTAGTTTTGTCCAATGATTGTTTTTCAATGCAAAAATGCATTCTGTGTGAATAGCACCTAGCGGTATGTTCTGCATTACGGTCCTTCAAAGAGCACATCACAAATGAATAGTTAATCAAGTGCACCATCATGTGCTCAGATCAGTTTTTTGCTCTTAAAGGAGCACTAAGCGATTTTTGAAAAACGCTTTTGACCACAGTGTCATAACGAGTCCCAAAACACACTCACTGCCAATCAGCAGTAAGGGGCGTGTCTAGTAATGATAGGGAGAAGAGAGCCTTGTGGGGCAGAGTTATCAAAATAGGGTCAAGGTTCTTTTGGGGTATGGGCGTGTTAGTTTGGTGCTTTCAAATATCAACATCGTTTGGCAAAAATCACTTAGTGCACCTTTAACTGTTATCATTGGTGTATTTTTAACAGTCTAATTGTAACATTTGCTAATATTTTTATTCAAAGCCGACATCCCTCAATTTAAAATAAAAATTAAAAAAATTGTGGCAAAACTGCACATTCAAATTAATCAATAAAATCAGAAAAATTGCCCAGCCCTAATGGTAACCCCACAAAACTGCAACTTAATGGTAGGCATACACTCTGCAAGTTCTGACACTCGGGAGGTTGTGAGCCATTGCACACATTACGAGTCAGTTAACCTAATAACAAACAAAAGAACAAAATGAAAAGAAAAAAGAAACCCCTTTGCTGCAAGATAAATGAAGAGGAATAAATATTCCAGGTAGTAAAGAACAGAATTTAATTATTTATATTGAGAAAATCTTGAACAACACTCCTGTAATTAACAAAAGACAAACTGAATGTTCACAACCTTTTACAAAAGAACAGAATGTCCCAAATTGTTGAACAGTTTATAAACATTCATCCAGCTGTTCATTTTTTTTTTTAAATTACTTAATAAACATTTTAACTAAAATACACAAGTTATACCCAGGACTAATTTATTTAAAATGTTACATGACTAATAAAAATCACAAACTAATCATATATAATTTTATTTAAAATAAAAGGAAAATAAAGTGAGCTGAATCCAAACAGCTCTAAAAGATTTTACAATAGTTCTTTGCATCTTTCTGAAGGCGCTCCGCCTGTGTTTGTGGTGTTGAATGCTTTGACCATTTAAACATAATTACACAAACAAAATGTTTAGTGTACTGTCTCTGGAAAAAAAATCAGCAGTGATTGATAAATCTATATTTATTTATTGTAGACGCTAGCAGCTGAAAACATACATGTTTTTAAAATCTTTTGGAATATCATTGTCATAATAATACTGATTCTCATGTGTTGTTACACAGTTGCTGTAATCAATTGCATGAAATTATTTACTCATTCCCTTTACAATCAAAGATTAGACTCTAGATGAGAGCAGGCCACCACATGATGACATCATCACCGAACAGTGATCAAGATCTCCTGATCTTATTCTCTCTGGGCTTTTCTTGCAATAACATACGTGTCTTATAAACAGAGTTACAGTTTAAGTCGAGAGCCCAGCTAAAGCAAACAGCAACCACCATCATGGTGACTTCAAACAAAACATTTTCATTCAAATGTCAACATCTAAACTTTTGTCATTCTTAATAAGAACTTTTGTAGACGTCCGACAGAAATAAAGTCAATCTGGTTAGAAATGAGTGAAGCTGTTAATGCTGTTTGTGGAGTTGTTTAATCCTCCTCTGCTGAGATTTAATGTCTTCTTTTGTTTAATTGATTTCATTTAAGGCTGTGGCTGGAAGTCAGTTGTAGTTCTTGTGTTTCTCTTTTTTCCTGTTCTTGTTGTTTCTTTTTTCTTCAGTGATTCTGCTTCTTAACAGCAGGTGTTCATCACTAATGCTCAATCAGCACTTAAATATTCACTTAATCATCTAATTAACTGCAACATTTTTACTCTTTGTAGTGTGGACACTACAGGATTTGTAGTGGGGTTAAAGTGTGTGGAGGTCCTGAAGGTTATCAAGCAATTTGAACTAATTAAAGAAAATAAATGTTAACATTTCCATAAAAATTACTTTAGAAAAATATATAAATTGATGTAAACAGAGTAATAAAAAATCATCATTCATTCGAACATTAAAACTTATAATCTTAATTAGTTTTATATTCATATTGTGTATTAGCACATATCTTAGCAGTAAAAAAAATAGGATAAATAGTGATGTATATTTGAGATATTACTATATAATTGAGATATTACTATTTAATGACAAATCCTTTACAATAGTAATTACTGCATACCATGAATAAGTGTACAAATGATCTTATTTATCTTAAGTCACACTGTAAAAAGCGATTTTTGAAAAACGCTTTTGACCACAGTGTCATAACGAGTCCCAAAACACACTCACTGCCAATCAGCAGTAAGGGGCGTGTCTAGTAATGATAGGGAGAAGAGAGCCTTGTGGGGCAGAGTTATCAAAATAGGGTCAAGGTTCTTTTGGGGTATGGGCATGTTTGTTTGGTGCTTTCAAATATCAACATCGTTTGGCAAAAATCACTTAGTGCACCTTTAACTGTTATCATTGGTGTATTTTTAACAGTCTAATTGTAACATTTGCTAATATTTTTATTCAAAGCCGACATCCCTCAATTTAAAATAAAAATTAAAAAAATTGTGGCAAAACTGCACATTCAAATTAATCAATAAAATCAGAAAAATTGCCCAGCCCTAATGGTAACCCCACAAAACTGCAACTTAATGGTAGGCATACACTCTGCAAGTTCTGACACTCGGGAGGTTGTGAGCCATTGCACACATTACGAGTCAGTTAACCTAATAACAAACAAAAGAACAAAATGAAAAGAAAAAAGAAACCCCTTTGCTGCAAGATAAATGAAGAGGAATAAATATTCCAGGTAGTAAAGAACAGAATTTAATTATTTATATTGAGAAAATCTTGAACAACACTCCTGTAATTAACAAAAGACAAACTGAATGTTCACAACCTTTTACAAAAGAACAGAATGTCCCAAATTGTTGAACAGTTTATAAACATTCATCCAGCTGTTCATTTTTTTTTTTAAATTACTTAATAAACATTTTAACTAAAATACACAAGTTATACCCAGGACTAATTTATTTAAAATGTTACATGACTAATAAAAATCACAAACTAATCATATATAATTTTATTTAAAATAAAAGGAAAATAAAGTGAGCCGAATCCAAACAGCTCTAAAAGATTTTAGAATAGTTCTCTGCATCTTTCTGAAGGCGCTCCACCTGTGTTTGTGGTGTTGAACGCTTTGACCATTTAAACATAATTACACAAACAAAATGTTTAGTGTACTGTCTCTGGAAAAAAAATCAGCAGTGATTGATAAATCTATATTTATTTATTGTAGACGCTAGCAGCTGAAAACATACATGTTTTTAAAATCTTTTGGAATATCATTGTCATAATAATACTGATTCTCATGTGTTGTTACACAGTTGCTGTAATCAATTGCTTGAAATTATTTACTCATTCCCTTTACAATCAAAGATTAGACTCTAGATGAGAGCAGGCCACCACATGATGTGTGCAGTGATCAAGATCTCCTGATCTTATTCTCTCTGGGCTTTTCTTGCAATAACATACGTGTCTTATAAACAGAGTTACAGTTTAAGTCGAGAGCCCAGCTAAAGCAAACAGCAACCACCATCATGGTGACTTCAAACAAAACATTTTCATTCAAATGTCAACGTCTAAACTTTTGTAATTCTTAATAAGAACTTTTGTAGACGTCTGACAGAAATAAAGTCAAATGACACCATTTAAATATTCACTAATTAACTGCAACATTTTTACTCTTTGTAGTGTGGACACTACAGGATTTGTAGTGGGGTTAAAGTGTGTGGAGGTCCTGAAGGTTATCAAGCAATTTGAACTAATTAAAGAAAATAAATGTTAACATTTCCATAAAAATTACTTTAGAAAAATATATAAATTGATGTAAACAGAATAATAAAAAATAATCATTCATTCATATCTTAATAAGTTTTACATTCATATTGTGTATTAGCACATATCTTAGCAGTAAAAAAAAAATAGGATAAATAGTGATGCATATTTGAGATATTACTATTTAATGACAAATCCTTTACAATAGTAATTACTGCATACCATGAATAAGTGTACAAATGATCTTATTTATCTTAAGTCACACTGTAAAGAATGTCTTAACAGTCATCAGACTATAATTAAGCTCAGAATTCATTAGAACGTATCTACTCACAATGTGATGTTCTGAACAGTCCGTCCGTCTTCAGCTGACTCTGAAAGTCTGCAGACAACCAGATCAGAAAGCCTATTTATACTCAAGGCAACACCCTGTTTCTGAAAGTCATGTGATTTCTGGGAATGCGTTATTTATTAATTAATTAATTAATATTTTATTTTATTTATTTCAAAATAGGTCCAAGTAGACTTATAAACAAAACTCAGCATCTCTAAAGAGGTTGTTTAATGATATTTGTCACTCTTACATTGCACTAACAAAGTGAACAGCTAAAGTGAAATGTTCCCTCAGGGTGCAAATCATAACAGCTTTCAAGGGGGCAGATTTGCTGATGAACCTAAAATCATTCACAATATAAATTATTTTAATTCATGCAGACATGTGCTCTAATTAATATGTCTAATAATCATCAAATAAAATTTTGCTTGTTTGTCATAAAAATCATGTGCAAATTCATCATAATGAGTCATGCAAAACTGTTTCACATTTGATATACTATTTTTTTCGAGCAGGCCTACTGTTTGTAACATAATGAACATGAAGACAGTTGTATTATCTCAGTTTTAGATAAATGTTTTGGGTAGTAATTGAATAGAATTCGACATCCCAAACAGCACGTTTCAATACATGAACAACTTAATTGCCATGAAGCTGTAGGTGTTGCAGGTCTAGGTTAGATGAAGCGCGCTGTCCGGAAAGCCTCAACCAGGTTTCCGTGAAGCAAAGCGCAGCAGAGTTTAAAAAGTCCTTGTTTGTGCAGGTGAGGAGTAGTAGTTCGTCTGATTTATGTGCAAGGGAGCAGAGATTCGCCAAATGAATGCTCGACAGTGGAGTCCTAAAACCACGCTGTCTGAATTTCTCGAGAGCACCAGCGCGCTTCTCTCGTTTGCGTCGCGATCCGCAACTCCAGTAAATGTCCAGTAAAAAGTCTGAATGACCAAAAGTCGGCAAAAAGTTATTTAGTGTGCTATTTCTGATGTCTAGGAGTTCATTTCTAGTAAAGCTGATTTTAACAAAGTTACTTAAGACAGGACAAACAAAAAAAAATAGTACAAGTACCAAGGAGCTACAAACAGAGGCAGCCGTCCAGCGTCTGGACCAATCAAACACACAATATATATTTTGTTAGCTATATTTAACAAATACTCCGTAACACCCCTCAGTTAACAAGCCATACGAGGCTGATATCACTGGTTTTATTACCCAAAGGAATGTGGGTAGAGAAAATCAGTAAATTTTCCATAGGAAGAGACACAATGCACAGTAAAAATGGACTCTTCTCTAATTAATTCATAGGAAAACCTTTCTTTGAATGAACACACATATCCTTCAGGTCATTGTGTATGTTGTTACTGTCCTTGTATATTGTCTCTTATATGTATACTGTTTTATGCAGGCTTATGATAGGATTATAACTAGTTATGATTAATTATTCATATTTCCCCTTGAGCTGATTCGCTACACCATCTTGATCAAGTGTATCAACTATACACTATATCGAACTGTGTGAGTTGTTTACTTTTTAAATGAGCCTTCCCATTAACTTCCCATTTGCTGTTCAGTGCTGGAGTGTAATTCCAGAAAGCATGGTTAACTTACCATCACTTATACCCTGAACTCTCTGGTTCTAAAAACACATCTGGGAGTAAGTTCAGTCAACTCAGAGTATGTTCTTGGTTAACACGCAATAAATACTCAACAGAGCGACGAATCGACAAGTCACCATGGAAACGGACACTAAAGCTGTGTCTGAAATCGTTCACTCATTCACTAATTCCTATATAGTGTATACAATATGGCAGTTGAGTGCCCTATATCAGAAAGGAGTGAACGAAATGAAGTGAGCGAATTCGGACGCGTCGGAGAGCTGGAGCCGTCGCAGAAACATCTTCGTCACATATGTATATTTATATTACATGTACCTTATTTTAGAAAATATTAATAACAATAACACTCACAATGACTTTATATTGTAATTATACATACCTTCGCGCCAGCTTTGTGGTTTCATCGATGGTATTAGGCCTAACTTGTTTTGTAATGCTTAATACGTTCATAATAATTAAATACTATTAAAATACTGGCAACAAAAATAAACAACACAAAATACAACACATACATTTTATGTATTTATTATTTTTACTGTCTTGAAACTCTCCCGAGCAGTGTTTTGCGCTCAGATAAGATGATGGTGGTCGTAGAACGCCTTCAGGCGACCATTAGTTTTACATTAGAATACGCCACATACAGGTGATTAACGAATATTTTTTTTAATCTTCCACCAAATTATTATCACATCTCTCATCTCTTATATGTAGGTGGTTCTTCCTGTGTCTGTTTGTGTTGCAGACAGCCATCTCCCCTGTGCGCTTCAGCACATTAAAAGAGCATTCACGGGTGGATGTCTTTTTAAAGATGCCTTTCCACCCGTGCGTTTCTGGATGCGGTCGTTACCTGGCGCCAGGTGATGGTCGTGATCGCTGCCTCTCATGTCTGGGCATTAAGCACGCTGAGGTGGCTTTCGTGGATGAGTCATGCTCCCATTGTGGGAAAATGACCGTCTTGGAGTTGCGGACCAGTCTCCGTTTCCTGCAAAGGGGCGGAGTGCCCGTGCCTCTGCCTAGATCTAGAGTTCGCCCCCTGGCGGTATACGGAAGTTCCTCCGGTGGAGCGGTCGGTTGCAATGCAATTGTGTCCAAATACCGCTGCCACCTGGCGGGGCAAGCCGTCGCTCCCCTCCCGGGCCTGTAGGTACTCGTCGGCCCTGACCGGCAGTGCTTATGCAGCCTGCAGAGAAGCTGCTTCTGCCCTACACGCTATGGCGTTGTTGCTGGTTCATCAGGCCAAGGCACTGAAGGACCTGCACGGGGTGGTCACGACCCAGAAGTTCTCAAAGAACTCCGTACCGCTACTGACCTCGCGCTACGAGCGACAAAGGTCACTGCGCTGTCTCTGGGCCGTGTGATGTCCACTATGGTGATCCAGGAGCGCCATCTCAGGCTGTGTCTGGCAGACATGAGGGAAACTGACAAGACTCGGTTTTTGAATGCCCCCGTGTCCCAGACCGGCCTCTTCGGTGACGCAGTGGAGAACTTCGCCCAGCAGTTCTCCGCTGCACAGAAGCAGACTGAGGCCATCAGACACATCCTGCCCCGGCGTGCAGCTGCTGCCTCCAGCCGGCCCGCTCCCGCGCAGCAAACGCAGCAGCCTCCAGCAGAGCAGCGCTGTGGAGCCGCCCGTCCAGGCCCCCGCCAAACTTGGTGGCAAGCGGAAGAGCAAGAGGCCCTGAGACAGCAACCCAGAGATGGAGGGAGCTGCTCTTCGGGAGATGGTGAACGCACCAATTAGCCTTTTTCACACGCAACCGGAAACTACGTCACGCAGAGTAAACTTATTTCCGCCACAGCTGAAACTACGGCGTTTCCATAACATGGAGCGTTATTTCACTGCTTCTCTCTCAACGTTGCCGCGACTCAGGTTCGAGGATGTTGAAAGAATAGTTGGACGGCATTCAACAACTAAAGAAGTAAGGCTGAGCAAGGGCTATAAATTCTTTGTTGAGGAGTTTATACACAATTATCAAGGTAAGTTGACAACTAAGTTAGCTGGCGCTAGCACTTGCAACGTTATATGAATGCTAACCATTTCGTATGTGTTTCGTATGGTAGTGAGAGCTAGGCGTTATTGTTCTATGAGGCAGCAGGACCAAAGAAATGTATGTCTTCAAACACACACACACACACACTCTCTCTCTCTCTAATGCTAATGGCATTCAATGCTAATGGCCTTTTTGAACCTTTTCAGTCAGGATTTTGTTGGGAAGACTGGAATCAAGTCTACCCTATACAAGGCTTACACAGGTAATTCACAACTCTGTGTGTATTTGTTTGTTTCTGTTTGTGTGTGCGCACAGCTACAGCTTAATGTCTTTGTGGCAGTAAGTGGTCAGGTGCTTAGAATATTACCAATAGTAAGAGAAATCCTATAGTCGACTACGCCACACATTAAAATATTATAGACTAATAATGAACAAGAGTGCAGATTAAGTAACAAATAAATAAATGAAATTCACCCAAGATCAAAAAACAACTGTTAACTATAACTGTTCATTTTAACACTGCATTTGTTTTATTCAAAGGGAGTACATCCAGAGGCAGTGAGTGAACTTCGTGTCCTGAAACCAAAATCAGTTGGGAAGACTGGAATCAAGTCTACCCTATACAAGGCTTACACAGGTAATTCACAACTCTGTGTGTATTTGTTTGTTTCTGTTTGTGTGTGCGCACAGCTACAGCTTAATGTCTTTGTGGCAGTAAGTGGTCAGGTGCTTAGAATATTACCAATAGTAAGAGAAATCCTATAGTCGACTACGCCACCCGGAATACACCGGGACATAACAGCCCTAAACAAAGGGACACAGGTTCGTTGCCAAAGGCAGGGTGAGCATAATAATAATAATGGGTATAAACAAGTCACTTTATTAACGTACAATTGATAAAAACACATACAACACTTCACACCAGGTCTCAATACATCACACGTCTTTACCAGTAACTTATAAAACAAGTACAATACAATAGAAAATAAAGGGGGAGGTGGCCAGCAAAGACCCTCAAATTTCTACCCCACACTCAATACCCATGACACACACTCGTGAAAAATCAGTAATATTAAACCGTTACGAAACATGTTACCTGTTTCTGATGCAGAAAAGCTAGTTCATGCATT